GTTGGGAGTGTCCTGGACTGATCTTTAACTTTTTCTCATCTTTCCCTTTGCCAGGATTGATGTATCTCAGAATGACCTTCCATGGGAATTTATGGTCGACCGTCTTCCTACTGTCTTATTTTTTCCCTGCAACAGGTAATGCTGAGTTTTTTCAATATTTGGGCAGATGGAATCCTTTTGCCGAAAATGAAACGAGTTTAAGGTACTTTACAGAAGTGAAATGCAGATCATTAGCTATTACTAAATTATTTTGAATAAAATGCATTGCTCAAAATGTGCCATTAGGGACTAAGGGTAAAAGAGCTTTGGTGTCACAAGGTCACATGAGGTTTTGGTGAAAACTTTGCCCCTCCCAGAGTGTGGGGCACTCACGAACATGAATGTGGCCATCAGAGCTGGTGTGCCTTCTTGGCCTTGTGAGCGTACAGTGGCTGGAAAGCAAAGAGCTGCATTCATGTGGGCCAGGTGACGGTAGCTCATCCGTTGGGCCTCCCGGATATCAGGCCCTGCCTGCCCCAGGCTCGCACGTTTGTCATTTTCCATGGAGTCCTGCTGGTGACTGCCTTGTCCCTCTTGTGCAAGTTGGAAATGGAGACTCCCCTCCCCACTGCATCCCATCCTGGGATTCTAGGCGCCTTCTCCCCACTTACGCAAACATCTGTGAACATCGCCCTGGGGCGGTCACCTTGATGTCTCCACATTTGTCTAAGCGGACTCTAAGTTCCGTGATGACAGCACCTACCCTGAAAGCCCAGCAGACGGGGATGGGACATCAGCAAAGGGACAGCCTAACTTGGCAATTAGTAAGTGTTGGATGCGGATGTTTTGGTAAAAGGGAAATTAACTCTTGGCCTTTGAAAGCTTGATAAACCAAATGTTCTGTCCCCTTTTTAAAAAGATTCCCTTTGTTTGTAGAAGGACAGGTCCTCAGGGACCAGTCACGCAGCTCTGACAGTATCTTTCCAGGGAGAAGCGTTTGCAGGATTATTTTAGTGAGGTTCCTAAGTCATACATAGGATGTCTCCGGTTCTCATTTCCTGCACTCACTTCCATTGTTCACTGCAGCCACTGCCATACTTTCTTTTTTCTCCAAGAGAGTGCCTCCTTCATGGGGACTGAATCATTTCCTTGTTTTTTCCTCTTTATCTCAAGGAATTTTTGCTGGAATACTTCCTGGGGTAGTAGGGTCCTGTCACATCACATACTAAAAACAGAGTGTGACTCATCCTGTTCTGCTAACTGTCCTAATGAACCTTTTTCCTTCTAAGCATTTAAAGTGCCTTCTAAGCATTTAAAGTGCCAAGGAATCCTGGATAGTAACACTAGCAATTTCATCTCTGTGGGATGGAGGTTGGACATGAAGTTGAATGAAGCATGGTTTTGGAATTTCAGACATGGTTTAGGAAAGTGATAAAGACCTAACACCCAGCACAAGACACACAGAATCGTGTGCTTGGGAGACTGAGTTGGGCTGTGTGGGGAGGACTGAGCTTTAATTAGAGAGTTGCTTGATGTTGTCACCTTGGGCATGTGCAACGGTGCTCCCTGCAGCCCCCTCACCATTGGAAAGTCAAGAATGTAAATACTAGATATAAGAAGAGTGTCCAGCTCCTTGTTAATACAGAGAGCTTGAGAAACCATAGCCTTGCCACTCAGGAATAGAATTTTTCTTATTTCCTAAAAATAAAGAGTGGTCAGAAATGAAGTGAGCTCCTTGTCAGCTGGTCCAAGTTGAACGTTTGGTATACTCGGAAGGTGTAAGTGGGCCAAGAGCAGGCGCAAGAGAGAAAATGAAAAGGATTTTTTCATGATGCATATGTTTATATTACTTTTGGTGAAGAGAATATAATTATATATTTTAATGAGACATAAGTTCACAAATGTGCTAGGTTAAAGTGTGTGCAGTAAGTAGCAAGATGTTGACAGTTATTTTGGAGGAGGATTACAGGTGATGTGAGGGATGCCTCTTGTTTGTCTTGCAATTGGTCTCCAGTGAGCACATATTTTATAGTCATTGAAGAGAGAAACTACATGAAAGAGCTTGTCCTCCCCCATCGTGTGACCCTCCTCTCCCTGGCAGAGGCGGCATTCCTGCGCAGGGGCGTCTGAGAGCCACTCTTCCTTGCGTGACATTTCCAAATTCAGGTGCTCTGGCGTGGGCCTGTGTGAGGACTCAGCTGGCTTACTGTAGTGTGTGCCCTGGGGAGGGGCCTCACTTCTGTAGAGGAGCAGCCTGCCCTTAGTATCCTCAGTATCCTACCTCCTCTTTCTGAGTAGAGACCTTATACCCTGTCATGTTTTTGGTTTGGTTTTTTTTTTAATTTTATTTTTTTAAAGATTTTATTTATTCATGAGAGAGGCAGAGAGGGGGCGGGGGCAGAGACACAGGCAGAGGGAGAAGTGGGCTCCATGCAGGGAGCCTGATGTGGGACTCGATCCCGGGATGCCAGGATCACGCCCTGGGCTGAAGGCAGACGCTCAACTGCTGAGCCACCCAGGGATCCCGTGTCATGTTTTTATTTAGCTGTTTAGGTGCTAGATGTGTGAACACACTTCTAATGAATTTAGAGTGGAGTCAAACTTTGGGACCTTTTACTACAACGCTTTCAAAATAATTCCTTTTTGGAAGTTTGTTCACAGCTTGTGTCCTTGTTACTTCCAAAAGGTTGGAAAGCCGTTTAGCACACCCGTTTGGTAGATTCACAGAGATTGCTCCAGGGATCTGTCTCTAAAATAGCATCCTTACAGGTGTCATTCTCTGTAATGTAAATGTCTCCCCCACATACTTCAGTACCTAGGCAGCTCTCTCCTGGGGTCTTTCACAGTTACTCTATCCTGCAAGACCAGGTTGGCATTGCATATCTTAGTGGCAGAGCCAGCCTCCTCTTGTCCTTTGTTGCCCATGCTTCATGGGGGCCAGGAGGTTTTTTAGTCATCTGTTGAATGACTGGGAGGCCCCACTTGAAGCACACATCTCTATGTTAAGAAAACCATGCTTTAAAGGGTGGGGTGTGTGGTTATAAACTTACTGCAAATACCTGACTATTCCATTTATTTGAAAGTCTCTGTAAATGTATAAAATGGGGCATATGTGATTTTTTTCCTGTGATTTTTATTTCATTGGGAAAGAGCTACCTGCCCACAAAAGAACACCTTTTGTCTTTTCTTAGATATTTGACCACTGGTTTTGCGTGTGGAAAGTGTGTGTAAGCTTTTAATGAGTGGTTTCTGAGAATACCACAGAATAATATGATTGTTTTTAGGCTAACACTCAGCAGTCAGGTAGCTCGTGCCATCCATACAGCAGTCCCCTGAGAGCAATGATGCTCTTATTACTCCTTTTATGGATGAGGCAGTGCAGGGGCTCAGGGGGGTCACTCGTCTGGGCGCTTGTGACAGCGAGTGGAGCCTTGTGAGTCTGCCCGGCAGGTGGCTCTGGGGCCCTTAGATGTGATACAAATTTTGTTCATCAGACAGTTAATTGACAACTTCTAAAAAGGAATTTTGTACATCAGGGCTTGCAACAAAGCTTTGGGGGAACCCCCTTCATATGTCACTTTCCTTCCTTATTCTGTGTTCTCAGAGCAGGGCAGCCTTAACTTCTCGGAGTCCTATGGTTGGTGTTCTTGTCAGGGGTCAGGGCTTGAGTGGTACCTTCCCCATTGTGGTTAATAAAAACATCTCCAGATGTTGCCAGATACCCTGGGTGGGGGGGGGTATAGTTACCCTCTGTTAACTTGTGCCTTGGCTAATGTGTAATAAATGCCAGCTGAAGAAATCCGTCTGAGTGTTCCGTCTTTCTTATTGCACCAAGCACTGTGGATGGCCACGGAGTGACACAGGTGACGTCCTGCCCCAGCACGTCCTTCCTTACACACCACTGGGCCTCTCAGAGCTCGCAGAGGCCCCTCTGTCCACGTGCTGCCAGTGCCCTCTAGCCCTGCCATAAGGCCTGGGAGCTGCTTGTCTTTCTTGGAAGGTTGTTCTCAGAAACTGAGCTCTTTGTCCTTAGAAGCAGACACACATTTGAGATAAGTCACCTTAATTACAAAATGAGCATATGGGACATCCTCAGCTTTGTAGAAGAGTTTTTGCCCAGAAACCTTTTCCTGGCTGACTCGTATTAAGCAAAATCCTCAATGTCTTTTGCTGGGAAGCAAGCAGCCCGGCCTTTGGTAGCAGTGTGGTTTGGACTAAGAATGTTGATGGGATTCTCACCTTTGACTCCTTTCCCTTTCTCTCCAGAAAGGACCGTAGTGTGAAATACCCTGAAGACCTACCTGTCACCCTTCCCAACCTGCTGAGGTTCATTTTGCATCACTCAGACCCTGCTTCTACCCCCCAGAACTTAGCTAACCCTCCTACCAAAGAGTGTCTTCAGAGTGAGGCAGTTTTCCAGCAGGGGCACATCTCCCATTTGGAGAGAGAGATCCAGAAACTGAGGGCGGAGATCAGCACCCTTCAGCGAGCACAAGTGCAGGTGGAGGCCCAGCTGTCCAGTGCGCGCAGGGACGAGCACCGGCTGCTCCGGCAGAAGCAGACCCTGGAGAAGCAGCACAGCCTGCTTCAGCTACACAGCGAGCAGCTGCAGACCCTGTACGAGCAGAAAACTCACGAGCTCGAGGAGGTGGCCCGGAAGCTCCAGGAGCTGGCCGACGCCTCGGAAAACCTCCTCACTGAGAACACGTGGCTCAAGATCTTGGTGGCGACCATGGAACGGAAGCTGGAGGGCAAGGATGGAGCCGAAAACCTCACTCCCCCCAAAGAGGCAGGCTCTGGCCACCCCAACCCTTCGGGTGTCCCCCGGCTACCTGGCGGCAGCCCCCCGCCTTCCAACAGCAGCTCCACGCTGGCGTCTGAAAGGAGCAATGAGAACAGGACAGACTAACTTTTACAATGACATGAAGAAATCAGAGATGGAAACTGTACTTTGGGAATATATTTATGCAAATTTTATTGAAATTTATTGTAAATAAAGATTTTCTCAGTGGTCTAGAAAATCAACTTGAATGTCATTCAGCTTTTATTGAACAGGGATGACATCCCTTCCACTTATTGCACAAACTTGGTAGCTTGAGACAAACAGTAGCACAGTCCATTTGAACATTTGTCTGAAAAGTTAGTCCGTGTTTTAGTGGCTCAGTGTCAGAGTTCCCTCCCCATCCCCCTCCTGTTGCTTCTGTGATGCCATGCAGGATGAAAGGCTGATTTCCTGACTGACCCGTCAGAGGACCAGAACACAACAGTTGGGCTATTCAGAAAGAATTCAACGACAGGTCAGAACTAAGCCATGTGAGTGTGTGGCCCTGGCGTCTGTGCTAAAAAAAGTAGCTATTGATAAATAGGAACAGTGAGAGCTATTATGTGGTTGTTCTTGGCCTCCCCAGGCACACCCAGTTGCCTCGCAGACACCCCCAGCAGTGCCCCCTGCACCCACTACCCTGACCCGGCACTGGGCACTGCCACTGTAAAGATGTTGCTCCTGGCCACCGGGGCATAGGTGGGACGAGGAACCTCCAGGAGTGAAACCCAGGAGAAAGTGAGGGTTCATCATTTCAAAACCAGAACTTCATCAGCCCCATGAAAACCTCAGGGCAAGTCTGACAGGCAAGCGGTCGTGTTCAGGGTGAGCCCTGCAGGGTCCCCCGGTTCCCCGGGTGAAGACAGCCTGAGTGTATGCTGCTGGCTGTGGAAAAGTAGAGGTAGAAAGCCTGGAAGTTCTGAGATGCGAGCAGAATGGGTCAGACACCCCTTACACCTTGCACACTGGTCTCCAGAGCCCGTCATCAGAAACCCAGCCTTCCCTCCGATCTTCCACAGGGCACCCTTGAAAGCGCTGGCCCCCTCCAGCCTGCGGGGCCTCGGAGGATCTCCAGGAGAGATCATTTAGGGGCCAAGGGCAGCTCTCCGGTACTAAATAAAGCCCAGTTGCCTTGCAGAGGCTCCTCAGTACCCCCTGGGGCATCTCCTGTGGGCTACCCAGCTACCACCCAGCTACAGAGCTGTGCTTCTCCCAACCCCCAAGCTAATACTTCGTGTTTGACCCCCAATTGAAGGGTGTGCTGCTAAAATGAAGTGTTCCCTAAGCTCGCTCCTCCAGGTTCCAGGAAGCAGATCATTAGTTCAACATGCTTATTAGAGACTTGAGTGGGGCCCGAGGAGCCGCCGGCACCCTGACCAGCGCTCCGTGGTTCAGCCTGGGGCTGGTCCCCAGTTTATTACCACAGATGCCAACACAAGTCACGTTTGAATCACGGTAGTGGGGAACGTGCTCATGGTGGTGGGATCAATAATCTCAGCGAGCTCACTTAAGTGATACACAAGGGACACCTTGGAGATGCAGATTGTGGGGGTGCTGGCCTGACAGCCACCAGCTCCTCTGGGTCTTCGTGAAAACCTTGTCCTGAACCTGAAATGAAACTCCCTCTCCCCGTTGCACCCTCCCCCGGAGGGGGGGCCCACTCAGGGTGCTCATGCACTTGGGGGCTCTTAGAGCAGGGTCACAGGGGAAAGTGAAGTCCCCTCCCCAGCAGATGGGTGGTGCTCAGAGAAGAAAGAAAACATGTGTGTGAAAAAGAGGAGGGGGGGGACACTCAAAGTCCCCTCCCCCACCCCGCCAGTGCAGAAAGTATTAAATACAACAAACAAAACCCACAATTTCCTCTTTCCTGGGCCAGCTGGGTTTCAGATAAAAGGTAGCCGCCACAGGCTGTGGTGTTTGTAGCAAAAGCCTATGCCAAGTAATGCTGGGTGAGGACAGCAGCAGGGGAGTGCTCAGCATGCTCATGAAACTGCTCTGCCACCAGGCTGCCTGGCAGGCCTCGGGACGCGCGTCAGCGCGCCTTGACGCGTCCTTCACTGGCTCTCAGGCAGCGGCGGTGGCTTCCTTGCAATAACTCCACTCTCGACAGGAACTGGCATTTAGCGACCCAAAGAGAGGGGGGCATGGTTCTTCCATCCACCGCTAACCAAGCAGAAATCACCAAAGCACCCCAGCTGGTGAGCCATGAGCCTTAAGACAGGTCACGTCCTCTGCCTAAACACACAGGTATATTAGAGGTCCCTGCCAAGGGCAGCGTGGGCCTTCCATGTCTAAGACACGCCCCCATAGCCTTGAGTCAGCTTATTACTACAGCCAGTCCCATGTGCTCTACACAGTATTTTTAAAAAATCAGCAAAAAAGGCTTAAGCACATGCTTCCGGGGCCTATTTACAGTTCACAGGCTTGTGAGTTCACGCATTACAGTAGTAGCTCCATCAAAAACAGGCTCAGCTAAACATTCAAGTAACAAAAGCACTACGGGGTCATGAGCCCCAGCAAGGTCAGGCCTGCCCACTGCCTGCAATGGGCAGTCCCACCAGGAGGCCAGGGGGAGGCCCAGGGCCACCGTGTCCTGGCTAAGGACAGCCAAGATCTCGGGAGTCCGTGCAGGCGGTGATGAAGCCCAGCGAGGCCATGCTGGCAAGTGTCAAGCCTTCCTCAGCAAGCGCATCTGTGGTTTTGCCCCTCCCCTGCCTCTCGGGGGGCTGCACACAGGCCTCGGGGTCGGGGCCCCAGCATCCCAGCTCAGCCGTGGACTTCTGGACCATTCGGGGTCAGCTTGGCCTTCCGCTCCACGCACGGTCCCTTGGCGGAGTACTGCACCAGCAGGAAGGGCTCCTTGGTCTCGCCATCCCCCACGATGCTCTCCTCGTCTTCCGACTGGCTGATGCGCTGCAGCCGCAGGTAGCACCAGCAGCCCAGGATCAAGGCCCCCAGGGCCGCAATGGCGATGAGGATGACGATGACCGTGACCACACCCGTGGTGGGGCTGTGGTCCATTATAGACATGGTCAGCGCCTGGGGGGGGCTTCCGCAGGAGGAAGCTCGTGGGGCAGTCTGCTCAGCGAGGCTGGAACTCAGGCTGGACACGAGAGCCCTGAAAGACAGTGCAGTGTGAGGCACCCCTGGGGACCCGACGGGGCCCTGACAGCTCACCGCCTTGGGGTGGCCGAGGGCAGGCGATGGCCTCTCCCGAAGGGTCTGTTTTTAATCAGGTCTTAAGCCTGACCATCCCGCCCTCATCCTGGTGGAAAGCATGCTGGTGGGCTCTCGCTGTTCGTAGCTTGTGACGTCACGAGCGTTGTCTTCGCTCACACTACCCCCTTCCACGTCCTACCCTGGACACCATCAGTGCTCCTGCTGCCAGATGGGAGCCCCTCTCCCCACTCAACCAAGAAGCAGGGAAGGGGGCCCATGCCCTGCACCCCACTGGAAGCTGGAAAAGGGTCTGTTTAAGGTGAATGTTCTGAAGGCCCCGTGTTGCTAGGTGTTCGGTAACCACTCAGGGACCGAGAGGAGCCAGTACTTTGTGATGGCCAGACACAAAGGGACAGGAAGCAGGGAAATGACTGAGTCCCTTTCTCAACCACGCGACAGATGCAACTCAGCTGGGTCCTCCGGAACACCTGGGAGAGGGTGCAGCAGAAGACAGCCTTTGTCCACAAGGGAACGGTGACCAGCCTGGAAAGAGCACTCAGCAGCCCGGTCTTGGAACGTGGAGGCACACAGGACAGCCTCAGGGAGGGCAAGCATGAGGGGACAGACCTACCCTCCCGCAGTGAGCTCAGCCCCCAGGTCCAGGACCCAGACTGCAGACAGCTCCCCGCACCAGTGCCTCTCACTACAAATGCATGAGGGCCGTGCCAGGAACACGGGACTGGGTGCCAGGATGCTACGTCGGGCAGGGCAGGCAATGTCCAGGGAGGTAAGGCCGACGCTGAGCCAGCAGGAAGAGCCAGGCCCCAGGGAGGAGCATTCTGGCTGGGGAATGGCAGGAGAGGGCCTGCTGGCAAGTGCAGGGGCGGAGGGCGGTGGGTGGCCGGAGCGTCAGCTGGTGGGTGGGGGCCAGGAGGGCACGCTGGACCACCACCTCCTGGCCGCTGCCAACCTCACACAAGCCCCTGCAGCTCGCTGAGCCTCAGAGCCCTCCTCTGTTACTGCTGAGGGGTGAAGGCGAGCCAGCCAGTGGTGGGAAGCACAGCAAGGAGAAGAAACCCCAACTCTCTAGGTGACCACTCGCTGAGGCTGGAGGTGCCCAAGCTAGCAGGCTCCCCGGGTCCCAAGACCCTGCCCCTTGCAACGTCTCCTCCTCGCCAAAAATGAAGCAAATAACAGTAACGAGCCCCCGCGTGTTGGAGAAGCCGGTGCCACCCTCGGCGCTCAGTAAGGGCTGGCCGCTGAATTCAGCTCCCCGGAAAGGTGGACGTTAGCACAGGGAGGCAGCGTTGGAAGGGAAGGTTTTCCCTCCGGACAGGATGAAACCTGCCGTCCTTGAGCAATAACGGCCTTAATTAGAAGTGATTCTTACCCACACCGAGGAGACTCGAGGAGACTCCCGGCCCATCCAAGTCCAGGCGTGCCTGAAGGTCAAAGGCAGCTACGTCCACGCCCCTGGAGTCTGTCCAGGGACCAGCGCCGCTCCCCCCAGGATGGCCCTGCCACCCGTGCCCACATCCGTAGAGGTGCCCTGGGCAGGAGGGGGGCGATCCCCCTTCTTTCCAACTGCAGGGTCAGGCTGCCGCTGCCACTCTCGGCAGGCTCCCTGACCCCCCTGTGTGGGTCCACTGCAGCTGATGCCCCCGTCACCCAGAGGAGAAGCCCAAGTCCTCCTGGGGACCTACAGGGCCTGACCGAGGCGTCCCCAGGCCCGGCTTCTCCCCAGCCACACTGACCCCACCGCCTCCGACCTCCAGGCCTTTCGCCAGGCAGGTCTCTCTGCCCCGCCGCTCTGCTCCTCTCACCCTGCTCAAGGGTTCCCAGCCAGGGTGACTAAGCCTCCCAGGGGACATCTGGTAATGTGTGGAGACATTTTTGTTGTCACGGCTGACAGTGAGAGGTTCTACTGGTATGGAGTGGACAGAGACCGAGGATGTGCTAAACATCCCGTGGTGCAGGGGACAGCCCCCACTAACAGGGATCTGGCCCCAAATATCAACAGTGTGGAGGGTGGTCAGTCCAGCTCAGGGAGGGACGCCTTCCAGGCCCCGCAGCTCAGGAAGGTCTCGTCCTGCAACTGCACCTGCGCCCTCCAGGGCCCTTGCCTCAGTGCAACCCTGGCTTCCACAGCACGGCCATCTGGTTGGCACCTGCCTCCCCCATCAGGCTCCAGGAAGGGCCCTGCACACTTGCGTGCTAAGTGCACAGCCTATCCTGGCCTCTTCCCTGGCACCTCCAGGGCTGCCATTAGCTCCCCCCACCCCTCTTGGCCTATCCCCTCAGGCCTCCAGACAGGACAGGTCTCCTCCCTACCCCTCAATGGCCCACAAGCCGTGTGGGGTGAACCTGTCCCCAACCCCCTGCTCTCTGCGCGAGGGAGAACACTCGCCTGCCTTGTCCCTCCCCCTGGACCTCTTGGGTCCAGTGCCTGCTGGGGTGCCTGCCCTCCTACCAGGCCCCTGGATAGGAAGGAAACGCAGTATCAATTCAGAACGGGAAGTATGTGTGTGTTTGGGGGCAGGAAGTAGGAAATCAAACAATGCAAGCAAGCCCTGGGGGGGGGGGGTGTTCCCAGGGGACAAACCTGCCAGGGAGCCTCACCAGTCCGGGAGGGAGCCGCGTGGTCCTGATGGGGAAACTGAGGCAGGGGCCGCTCTAGCTCAAAGGGACCCTTTGAGAGGACTGGTGACCTCAAAACCCTGTCTGCTGTCCTGGGGCCAGGCCAGGAGGACTCCCCCCCAAGTGCACAGAGCCAGGTGACCAAGCCATGGGCATGCCTGGCTGTGCTCGCTGCCCCCCACCCCCCCCCCCCGTGCATTTGTTTGTCCCTGCATTCACGCAGCAGGTATTTCCTGAGAAATGACAGTTTAAAAACTCTGCTCACATGATCCACTGCTCAGAACCCTTCCTGGCATCAGCAGAGAATCAAAACTCCCAGCCTCCCCAGGCTTCTTCGCACCCTCCCCGCCTTCCCACCTCAAGGCCTCTGAACTTTCTGTTCCTTCTACCTGGAATGTTCTTCTCTGTCTCATGACTGGCTGGCTCCTTCCTGTTATTTGGGACTTTCTCTGTGGGTGCCTCTGGGAGGGTACCTTCCCAGACCACCCTGGCTCCAGATGCGCCACCACCCCACACTTGCCACTGCCTTGCATTGCACGGCTTCATTTTATTCCCTAGTGCTCTCTGCTACCTGAAATTCTCTCAGGTCGAGAACATGCTTCCTTGGCTGCTGTTGCCTTGGTGGACTCTGAATCTGTAAGAGGAGGGCACTGTCCCTCTGGCCCACCATGGATCCCCAGCCCTTTATCAGCACACAGCAGGTGCTCAATAAATGTGTTCCAAGCCCAGAGACCCTGCCCTCATGGGGATCATGGTCTGCAGCCCCCACCCCTGAGCCAGCTCTCCAACCCAAGCCACTCCTGGGACCCTCCACGTGGGTCCCCCCACCTGCCTCAACAGACCCCAGGAAGCTGGCATCCTGAGTGTGTGAGGGCAGGCGGATTTCCAGCAGGCCTGAGCCCTGAAGGGGCAACTGTCTCCACGTGCTGGGGGGCAGGGAGGGGAGGAAGCCACAGAGAATCAGAGCCCAGAGGGAATGTGAAGCGTGATGGCAAATGGCTGGTTTTCCCTGAGCCCCGGTGTCCTGGGCTGGACCCTACCTGCTTGCTTTGCCTCCCCTGGCTTCCCTCCTGCCCTTCTGAGCCAAGGTATCTCCTGCAGGTCAGCTGACCCTTCACCCTGATCCAGGAAGGGCCACACCTGGGCTGGGTTGACGCCCAGGATGGCACCTGGGAAACCTGCACCCCCACCCCCACCCCAGAACAATCACCTAAGTAGTTTAACACTCATTCCATACAATTGTTTCATCCTCCCAACAACCCTGCGGCTCACACTGCTCACAGCTCTGAGTTCCATATTAGCAACTGAGGCACGGAGTTTGAGTGGACTGCCCGAGTGAGGAGCCAGCATGCAGGACCTTGACCCTACCTGGGGCCCAGAGATCAAAAGAAGGGGTCTTCCAAGTGCAGGCGCCTGCAGGCTCTGGGTGCTCTGGGGGTGGGCGACAGGGCATCCTCCCCCAGCCCAACCTCTGCAGCATCACCTTGCCAGCTCCCTCAGTCAGGACAAGGGCTGGCATTGGGATCCCCCAAAACATATAGGACCAATCCTCCACCCTCCCGCTCCGTGGCCCTGGCCCTCAGATCTCACCCACAGCTCCTGGAAAAAACAAGCTCTAAAGCCTAGCCTCGCCAGTCTGTGGGCGCCCTCGGAGCTCCCCACTCCCTGCCCCCTTGCCCCCTGGTGGGTTCAAAAGGACAGTTGCGGGTAGACGCCTTCCACTGTCCTGTTGTCCCTCAGAGTTCATGGTTTAGGTCTTCCCCAGTGTAACGCTGGGTTCCAGTTACCTGCCTCTTTGTGAGGCCCCCAAAGTGAGCCCTAGTTAGCCCCAGGCCACGGGTGACTTTACACACTCGGGCCCAGGCGGACCACAGCTAATGGCAGAGCAAAATCCCCGCCATCCTCCCGCCCCTACTGGGAGCTGTTCTGACCTAGCCAAGCAAACTGCTCCTAAACGGCAGAGTCGCAGTGTGCAAAACGGGAATGAGGTCCTGACCTCAGCAGCCAGACCGTGGGGAGGATGAGCAGTGATAAGAAATGTGGAAACGGAAAGGCCAAGGGGCCACCGGGTTTGCACCGTCACCAGGCACTACGGCTTTCTTGGTGCCTGAGGGAGGACAGTGAGCCCTTAGTATCACCTCCGCCTTCCACCAAGGACCCACCTCCCAGGAGGGTAGGCAGCCTGGTCTGGGCTGACACCACAAATAGCCTCTCCCTCAAGGACACCTGCCACCTTCTTCTCGCTTAACTGGGCATATCATGGGTGTCACCACGCCCAGCAGGACACCAGCTTGCCACCCCCACCCTCCTGCTTATCGGGGGCCAACCCCTCCACCTGGGGTGGGATGGGGCAGGGGGCTTGCAGGAGCGCCGCTAGGGGTTAAGCCATGCCCTTGGGCAACAAAGCCACCTGCAAGGTGTGCCAACAAGCTGGACTCAGCCTCCAGGGGACTGCAGTTCACAAACCAGAAACGTCTGCTGCCTAGTTTCTGATTAGGAACGTCGGATGGTATATGGAGGACAGGGCACTGGTGGCCACAGTCGGGACGCAGGTGAAACATCTACTCTGCGCCAGGCCCAAGCAGGCACTGGGACCCAGGGACGCATGTCACAAGGCTCCTGCCCTCCAAAAACCAGGACCAAGAACAGCAGGGCAGGGATGCCAATGGGAAACTAAGTGTTCCACGTAGCCGGTGCCATCTCAGCCTCCCATCACCCACCCAATCACACCCCATCCTCTAGAAGAGGAAGCTTGCACCAGAACCCCTAGGTTCCCTGGGGGCAGAAGAGGAAGCTGGTGCACTTAGCCCAGGGACTGCCCCAAGCTCAGGCTGGGTCTCCTGGGGCCCCAGCCTGAGGCTCATGCCCCCACCCTGTGAATCAGCCACTGGTCACTCTCACAGGGTCAGCCCCACTTGGCCAAACAACTTTGGTAATAACAGTAGACGCTTGACGAAAGTTGCGGAGGATTCCAGACACCGGGCAGCTCAACACTTCCCACAGACCCTCTCTCCTTTCCGCCTCAAAGCAACCCTAGTGTTATTACTACGCCCACTCTGCAGATAAGGGATCTGCGGCTCAGAGAAGTCGAGCCAACTGCCCAAGGTCGCACAGCTCAAAAGTAGCCACAGCAGGAATCAAACCCAAAGCAGCCGGATCCCGCATCCCAGATGTCAACCCTGGCACAGAAGTGTCACATTCTTGACCCCGCAGCGCCCCACTCCCCTGCCTGAGGCTCAGGGGCCAGGTGAACCCCAGTGCGGCCCCGCAGGGACAAGGGCTCGAGGCTGGGGTCACAGGGATGACAGGCGCCCGGCAGCTACCGCGTGCCGAGCGCGGGCGACGTGCCGGCGCGGTGCCAGGCGAGCTCCAGCGCCCTCTCATCTCACCCTCTGCCAGGCGACGCCGTCTCCCCCACTCCGACGCTGGAGGGAGGGAGGAAGGGGCCCGGCCCCCCGGGGCGACAGCTGGAAAAGCACCTCCAGTCGGCCCGACTGGGGCGGGGAGGGACGGGGAACCGCGACACCCAGTCGTGCCCACGCCGCGCAGTCACCGCCGACGGAACTCGGCGGCCCGTCCTCAGTCTCCGCACCTGCGAAATGGGCGCAGGCCCCGCACTCCCACCCGTAGCCCGCGGAGCCCTCGGCGGCGGGGCGGGGGGCGGGGGGCGGGCGGCGCGGGGGGGGGACCGCCCCGGAGGATGCTAGGACGCCCGCCTCCTCCGTTAATTTTAAACATCCCGAGGCGCCCCGAGGAACCCGGCGGCCGGCCGGGGGCGCGGAACTGCGGGCTGCGGCGTGGGGAGGCCCGGGGAGGGGGGACGCCCGCCCCCCGCCAAGCGGCCGCCGCCCGCCGCCGCCCCCCGCCGCCTCCTTTGTCCCGATCTCGCCGCAGCGCAGCGGACAAAGAACCCCCGCCCGCGGCGCGGCCCCCGCGCGACCTGCCCCAGCCGTGCCCCCGCCCGGCCGCCCCTCCCCCGCCGCGGGGAGCACCCCTCCGCGCCGCCCCCCAGCCCGGCCGCGCCGCCCGCCCGCCCGCCCGTCCCGCCAGCCCGGCCCCGCTCACCATGGCGCCGCCCGCAGCCCGGCCGATCGCCCCGCAGCAGCCCCGGGCCCGGCTCCGCCCGCCCGGTCCGGCCGCCGCGCACCGTCGGGACGCAGCAGCCCCGCTCTGCGGCGGGCGGGGCACCCCAGGCTCCGGCCCTCGGGGGCGTGGCCCGCGCGGGGGAGCCAATGGGAGCCCGCGCTGGGACGGCGGGGCGGGGCCGGCCGAGGCGGGTCACGTGCGCGCGGGGCCGGGGCGGCTCCGGCGGGGCGGGGGCTGCGCGCAGCTGGCGGCCCCGCGGGCGGGGGGCGGGGGGGTGCGGGGCGCCCCTGCAGCCCTCCCTCCCACGCCCCGAGGCACAGGGGAAACTGAGGCAGGCATAGAGCGCCGTGCACCCTGGGGCCAGGAGGGAGGCGAGACCTTGGCGTTGAACCTCCTGGTTTGGGGAAGGAGCAGGTCATTCACTCACTCACTCATTCATTCATGCATCATCCGTGCGTCGGTTCCCTCCGCCCTGCGGAGCACCCCCCCCACACACACACACACCGGTGCCGGGTTCGCGGGGGGCTGTGCAAACAGCCCCGAGCAAGACCCACACGGACCCTGCCGGCGCGGAGCTCTCCTTCGGGGGCCAGCTGAGGCTGCAGGCACTTCGCACGCCTTGGCCCATCGCAGTCAGGGTGCTCACTCCTTGATTAGGCTCCCACCGACGGCCGCGCCCTGTGTTAATGGCTCAACACATTGTACAGACTGGACCCCGCGGAGGAGGGACTCACCCATTTTACGGATGGGGAACCCGAGGCCCGGAAGTGCTGAAGCGCGGCAGTCCCCTCGTGATGGAGGCCGAATTCGGGGGCCAGGCCTGTCTGCCTGCCTGCACACACGGAGGTGCCTGCTAGTGCCCTCATCTGCACTGGTCCACCCAAGAAGGCAGTGCAGCCAGAGGACAGTCCCTTGGTGGCCAGCTGGGGGCAACAGGAGGGGTGACAGAGGGTCCTTCAAGTCCTCAGGGCACTCATGGCTTGGAAGGCAGGAGGGATGCAGGTAGGAAGCCCCTCGTCCTGGGAGCTGGAGCGTGTGTCTGCTTGTAAATGTTTTTCTCAGGCCCAAGCAAAGGCTCTGGGAGAAGATGGAGGGCCCAGCTCACAGGCCCGGGGCCAGGCCCTGCTCACAGTCCCCACTCCAGCGTGGCTGGTGGCTGGCCTCTCCCTGCAGGCACCCCCTGCCCTGAGGCCTTGGCCAGTGCCATTTCCTCCTGCTGCAACATTCTTGCCTTCATCTTTCAAGTATCCACCCAAGAGCAGGCCCCTTCATTATTCTCCCTCCCCGTGCATTGTGAAATGGTACGTTTTTGAGGGTGTGTGATTCACTTTTTTTCGGTCTCTCCCACCAGGCCTGGATCTGTGCTGTTCACTGCCATGTCTGCTGAACAGAACACACAGCAGGTCCTGAATACAGGGCTGATGAGTGAGTGAGTGAACTCCAGGCCTGGCACAGCTACACCCTAGCCAAGGGAGTCAGGTGCAAACGGTGAACCAGAGGTGAAGCGGGAATGGGGGACAGAGAAGCAGAGAGAAGCCCAGCTCCAGGTTAGCTACCCTCGAGGCCAGATCAAGCATCTCAGAACAGCTCCCGTTCCTGGCTCTGCCCCCCTGCCTTCAAAGGCTCCTGCCGGGTCACACACCTAGGAGCCCAGAGCAGGAGGAAGCACGTTCTTCCCACAGAGCCAGTTCCAGAAGACTCTGAAGTCCCAGCCTTGAGTTGGCAGAGAGCTCATTAGCAGGCTCAGAACCCAAGAGCCAGGACTGGCAGATGACAGGAGAGGTAGGGACACTTTGGGGGGAAAGACTGGGTTGGGAATTAGTGAGGGGAATGGCACAGGACATAGAAGTTGAAAGACCAGCCTTTCCTGCTGGGCAGCTTTGAAAAAGCAGCCTACCCGTCTCTATCCTTCAATATCTGAAAATCATCTGAAAATGGGTGTGGAAGTAAGGTCTCCATCGCAGCGTGGGTGTGAGCCCGTCAAGGGTTTAGCGCAGAGGAAGCAATCCTATGCATTCACTATTAACATTAGTAACAGGGTCAGACAGGTGTGGGGTGAACTTGGGCTTCCCTGTGGGAAATCAGACCTCTCTGGGCCACAGGCTTCTTGTCCCATCAAACCCACCTGTGGGATGCTGAGAGGTGGGGAGCTGGGAACCGGTGACCTGGGACCAGCCTTCATCTTGCCCTGAGTGAGCTGTTTCAGTAACAACAGAGTGATAAGTCATGATAATAGCAGGAAACAGCAAGCACCACATATGCATAAGCACATTTTAATCCTATTTTACAGATGGGGAAACTGAGGCACAGAACTCGTCTGGAGGTCTTGTTGAAATGCAGGTTATGGCTCTGTAACTCTGGGCCTGAGGTTCTGCATTCCTCACAAGCTCCCAGGTGATGCTGAAGGTTTGTGAACCAGACTCGGAGCAATGAAGGGCCACTCTCTAGACACTCACTAGGGTTCACACAAAGCCGTGAGCACTGAGCCTCATGTCACCCTACTGGGTAGGCTGCAGAGTCCAGCAGTTAACCTTGGCTCTCACAGCCTGCCTGGCCCCAGCTCAATCCCCTGCAGAGCAGAAGCAGGAAGTATAGCTCCCCTCCCCAAGCCCGTTTCCTCTCTCAGGGCCCCTACCATCTCCCTGGGAGGTGACATCTGGCCCTTAGAACCTCCCAGCCCCCAGCATCCCAGGGGTCCTCCCTGTTGATGGCAGGAGCTTCTCAGTTGCTCATTAGCCAGGAAGATAATTATAGGCGGGGGATGAGTTCACCCTGGCTCCCTGGGGCTTGCTGGGGCCCAGCTGGGCCTGCCCCATGCTAGCCCTCCCCGTGCCTGCTTCCCTGGGGTGCTGGAACATGGGAGGGGCTTGCTGGGGGTAGAGCAGTCTCAGTCAGCCTCGGGGAGACTCCTCTGGCTGGGCCTCCCTGCCTAGCTGGGGCTCTCAAGGCCTAAGGCATCCCCCCTACCCCCCCTTAAGGGTTCCAGGCCTAAAAACAAAATGAAAACTGCTTGGCCAGAGGGGAGTTTCCTGAAGGGTGAGAGGTGACCCACTGATGAGTTCTGCAGGGTGAGGTTAGGGTGGGTCACAGAGAAGGTGGGCACCTAGCTCTGAATCACACAGCAATTCTCCTTCAAGGGGAAAAAGTTTCACTTACGGTTATGCAGCTTTCACATCCCTGAGCCCTGGTGCAGCCCTGATAGACAGTCAGGAGGGGGACGCTGGGGTGGATCAGCGGTTGAGCCTCTGCCTTTGGCTCAGGGCATGATCCCGCGGTCTTGGGATTGAGTCCCGCATCAGGCTCCCTGCATGGGGCCTGCTTCTCCCTCTGCCTGTGTCTCTGCCTCTCTCTGTGGCTCTCATGAATAATAAAACAAAAAAATATATATATATAAAAGACAGCCAGGAGGGAGCAGGCCTTGGGCTCACAGTCTTGCTCCGTCTCCACTCTTGAGCCAGAATTTCACAGCCTGTTGTTTTCTGCCTATTTATGTTTACAGTCTCCTATTTGTGGCACAGGTATCACTTTTCCATTTATGGTAGTGACATACCCATTCTTTTTTTAAATTAATCTATTTGGGGGGGGGAGATGTGAGTCACCTTAAAGCAGAATGTAATAGAAGTAGCTGTAGAGGTGGCATGGGGACATGGAAGCAGTGGGGATGGTGGCAGACGGTTGGATGAGGTGGGGAACCTGTTGGAGCTGAGTCACCCACAGCTCAGGCTCCCTGCCATCCCCGGACTGCAGGGTGCAGCTGAGCCCCAGCTGGGAGACCGAGATGTCCCCCGGGCTCCAGTGTCCGCAAGAAAATTCTATCTGGGTGGTCATGGGTTGTGTAGGAGCTGGGTCGGCTCTGGTCTTCATTCCTGGGGTCTGTGGTGTCAGTGTGATGAGGAGCAGACCAAGGGAGGGGGGATCAGCATGCCTCACCACACCCCTACTTCCCTGGGGCTGCCCTATGTTTCCATCCATGTACTCCCCCTCCCCCCACCACACTTGACCGCCCATTAATCCACCCGGTCACTAAGTCATTCATCCAGCCAGTCTTTATTGGGCACCTGCTATGTGCTGAGCCCTGTGCTGGGCACTGGGGAGATAGCCGTGAGCCAGACATGTAGAACTCAGGTTATGAACTTCAGGTACACAGAATTATGGGCACATCAGAATCCAGATCATGGTGTATTCTCTTTGGTCCTTGCATGACCCGCTCTTATTAAAAATTTCTGCAATTAAAAATAACCCCAATAGGGGGATGCCTGGGTGGCTCAGCGGTTGAGCATCTGCCTTTGACTCAGGGCGTGATCCTGGCATCCCGGGATCGAGTCCCACATCGGGCTCTCCGTGGGGAGCCTGCTTCTCCCTCTGCCTGTGTCTCTGCCTCTCTCTGAATGTCTCTCATGAATAAATAAATGCAATCTTTAACAAATAAAATAAAATGACCCCAATCATGTAATGCACACCCACCAGCCCGTCGATCAAGAGCTAGGACCCTAACAAAGGCCAACATCTGATCCAGAGGTACCCCCATCCCATCCCTGCCCTGAATCCTGTCCTCTTCACTCCCTGCTTTCATGTTTGTCCAGCTTATTCATATCTACATCCTAAAAGTACACAGGCACACCTTGGAAATACTGTAGGTTTTGTTCCAGACCAACGCAGTAAAGCAATATCACAATAAAGCAAGTCGGATGAATTTTTTTTAATTTCCCAGTGCATGTCAGAGTTATGTCCATGCTGTAATGAAGTCTATTAAGTGTGCAATAACATTATGTCTTAAAAAAAACAATGCACATGCCTTAATTGAAAGAATTTCTTTATTGCTAAGAAACACTAGCCATCATCTGAGCTTTCAGCGAGTCGTAATCCTTTGGCTGATGTAGAGTCTTGCCTCAGTGTTGAAGGGTGCGGACTGATCCGGCTGGTGGGTGCCGAAGGTGGGGGTGGCCGTGGCAGTTTCCTAAAATAAAACCATGAAGTCTGCTGCACCTATGGATACCTCTTTTCCTAAACAATTTCTCTGTAGCATGTGATGCTCACTCATTGCATTTCACCCGGAGTAGAACATCCTTTCAAGGGCAGCCCGG